TTTACAGAATCATGTTTAGACCTGGAAGATCTGGAAGACCACTGTTATCATAGAGATGAAAGAACTGAAGCCCATAGGGGTTAAATGCACTTTCTGGGTCAGATAAGTAGTAAGAGAGTCAGGATGTGCTCCATGGACAAAGCAGAAGATCTCTAGGCTTGACCTACCCCAAGAAACTGACTCTTCAGTACAGTGGCACTGGCTTCTTGCCTGTCCCATACACAAGACATTCCCTCTCTCCAATCTGGGCATCTCTCTGGCCGTCCCCCAAGTCTGGAATGTTCTTCCTCCTTATCTCTGACTCCTGGCTTGCTGACTTCCTTTAAGTCCCAGCTACAACCCCACCTTCTACAAGAAGCTTTCCCCAACCACTCAATCTCCTTGCCTTCCTTCTGTTGAGTATTTCCTCTTTTTCTGGCATATGGTTTGCTTTGTATATATTTCTTTACATGTTGTCTGTCCTGGTAGATTACAAGCTCCTTGAGGGCAGTGACTATCTTTTGCCTCTATTTGTATCTCCAGTGCTTAGCACAATGCCTGCACATGGCAGGAACTTAAGAAAGGTTGGTTGATTGACTGACTGTGATGTGATGGACTGTGCCATTTGACTCCCAGCCCAACATTCTCTTCCCTGTGCCACGTTTCCTACATATGCTAAGGGGCATTTCTCTACAGCAGAATTTTAGGAGTCACAGGACAAACCTGGGGTCTAGTACCGACTCTTACCGGTAATTACTTAGGTGAACTTGGACTAGTCATTTCCCTGCTCAGATTCCCAGCTGCCCCAGCTATACTGTGGGGGAATTGGGCTAGATCCAAAAGCAGAGGCTTAGCGTCAGCCAGAAGGAACCTCTGAGGATGCCTGCCTCTTCACCTTAAGGGACAGCCCAGACTTATCCAAGGTCACCTGGGGAGGAGAAGAACAGAGATTCAAACCCATGTCCTCTGACTCTAAATCTCATCATCCCCTTTTCCACTGCAGTCCATGTCATCTTGAAGGCCCCTTCTAATCCTATCTACAAACACATGGGAAGGGCTTTTGCTGAGAATGGGGGCTCATTTCCTCACCGCCACACCCTCATGCCACGGGCCTGACCTCTTAGAGTCAGAGTCACCTGGCAGTGAGCAGCTTGGGCTGCAGGAAGGAATCACCTCCTTGTCTTTTCTAGCCATTGACAGCTGCTAAGTATGGACTGGACTGTGACACTCAGGAGTGTATTTGCTATTAGCTGGCGTCTACAAATATGCATCGGTTGTACTCTTAATCACTGAGCTCAGAACACAGGTGGCCCAGAGAACAACTGTAGGAATGACGCCAGATCTGTGTTCTTGCCAGGAAGACCAGCCCCGGATAAGATGGTGGGCGAGTTCATTCTCCAACGTCAGTCAGCAAGCCAATGTTTGCAGGTCGCCTCTGTGGGCTCTGTGGATATGGCAGAAGACCCCGAAGGTTTGGACCCGCCTCAGGAAGCTGAGAAGACTTGGGCACACAGTAGAAGACAGGAGGCAACTGCCAAACAGTGCTGAATTCTACAGCTTTTATTGTGGATTGATCATCTTCAGCAGCCCTCTCCAACACAGCTGCCATGCTAACTGTGGCCAGAGAATCCCTGGGGCTGCTGCTGGTGTCGCTGACCTCCACCAACTTTGTTGACCCTCACCGGCTCCCCATCGCCCACAAGCATTCAGGCTCTTTAATCAACAATTCTCTGAACATACGGTGGTGGGATTGGGAGCAAGGCAGGGAGAGGTAAAGTTTGGGGTTATGTGGTAACATAAGACATAGAAATAATGGCACCTTGGACAGAGCACTGGTTTCAGAGGCAGAGGATCTGAGTTCAAATCCTGACGCTGTCACTCCCCGCCCTTGGGACTCCACAAGGTTCCCTTCCCTGGGTTTCAGCACCTTCCTCGGTCCGGTGAAGAGTCTGGACTCTGTGCTGAATCAGCTCTAAGACTCACATGGCTCGAGGCCTGACGGTCACTCCTTCTGGGAGGCCCGACTTTGCACCAAGTTGGTGAACAATGAAAGGAAGCTCTAGGTGAACTCCATTCCCTCCCATTGGGTGCAGACATTTTTAGAGATGGTTGGATCCAGCTGGATAGGATCAGGAAAAAGACCACACGGAAGAACTAGACTTTGAGGTGCCTGCATTCAAGCCTTTTTTACATCTATACTGTTTTTCATGAAAAGTCTATGTCAAGTCTGAGAAGTTACTTAGTCTGAGGAAGGGCTGGACTCCTCTTGGTGTCTGAGATAGTGAAATCAGGTGAAATCGGGTGGAGTTAGAACCTAGCACCGTGAGATTCAGTTAACTTGACGAGTTCTCTAGGCTTGTAATGCTGCTCAAACACAGCTCAGGGGCCACCTCCACCAGGAAGGCCTCCTTGATCTCCCCAGTTCTCCACAGGCTTTCACTTTTTAACAGTTTTGTAACACCTCACATACAGGATGTATTTGCTTCCTTGAGGGAATGTTGTGTCCTGCCGCTAGAATGGAAGTTTCCTGAGGACAGGCACTGTCTCATTTTTGTCACTGGTTCCCAGGGTCTGCTATGTAAAAGGCATTTGACAAGAGTTTGTTGAGTTGAATTAGGGGACAAAGATGAGAAAGAAGAGCAAAGAACATGCAGTCTATAGCAAACTCAAGTTAATAACCACACATACATGGAAGGAGTAAATATTTTCTAAAGCAATCAGAGAAAAGGTGAAAAGCTGCTTTGGCTCTTGCCATCCGGTGGCTGCCCACGCTCGTCTTTTCCTACATTATTTATTTTCCCCAGTTTCTGTTCCTGGTGCAGCCCCCTGCCTTCCTGCTTCTCCCTTTCTTTTTGACAGGAGTGATACCTGATTTTGGGGTCTGAGAGGATACTCCTAATTCCAAGAATCCAGCTTCCAATGACTGCTTCCCCAAGGCCAGGCTGACTAACCAAGCCCCTGGGGAATTGTCGAGCCTCACCTTCACCTTTATGTCTATCAGATGCAATAAAATAAAAGGGGTTGGTATGGACAGTGTTCAGAAGAGAAAATGCAAATGGTGGCAGAGTAGATAGAGCTCCAGAAAGACCCCTCTTCCTGAGTTCAAATCCAGCCCCAGACACTTACTAGCTGAGTGACCCTGGGCAAGTCACTTCACCCTGTTTGCCTCAGTTTCCTTTGAAATGAGCTGGAGAAGGCAATGGCAAACCACTCCAGTATCTTTACCATGAAAACCCAAATGGGGTCACGGAGAGCCAGACATGACTGAAAATGACTGAACAGCAGCAACAAATACTTGAAAACATTTTCAGCTTCAGTAACGACCAGAGATGCAAGTTGAAGTAGCTTATATCCATTAAATGGCCCACAATAACAAAAAGCAGAAAAACTCAAGGTTCAAGTATTTCAGAGACTCCAATAGAACATGCATTTTTTGAGCCCCTACTGTGTGCCAGGTGGCACTGTACACTAATTGTTATGCAGCGACACCATGCAACACTCATACAAGTCCACTCGTTCCTTGCTGGTCAAATTGGAACATGTGCGATCTTTTTTGGAAAACAATTAGGCAAAATATATAGTGGAAGGCACAAAATTAATCACAATTTTTAAGTAATAGTTCTATTCCATTATCAGAGACTGAGAGTTATCAAAAGCAGAGCCAAAATGGAAGCAATCTGTATAAAGATTTTTTTATAGTAGCGATATTTATCACTGAAAAATGCCGTCACCTTCCCCCCCAAAAAAAATAAAAAACTGAAAGTAATCTAATGTACCACAGTAGGAGAATGGGTAAATACATTGTGGTACATTAATATTATGGAATATAGCAATGTAATTCCCACAAGCAGGTATGAAATATATAAAGAAATTTCCAAAAACCTTTATGAAATCAAGTCAAACAACATGAAAAAAGTAAAACCAGAAATTCTACCAGAAGTCACCGTGTTTATTCTATGGTCATAAAAGAAAAATTGTGACTGGAATAAATTGCCAAAAACATCCTGAGAAAAGTTTAGAGAAAGGGACTAGAATTATGAAAATTTATGTATTTTGTTTTATTTTATGTTGGTCTGGACCTATGATTTTACTGGTACAATAAGTTCTTTCTCCCACCTTCTACCTCCTTCTCTTCTTCCCCTTTCATTCCTTCTCTCCCCTTTCCCTGTCTCCCCCACTCCTCTTCCTTCCCTCTCAGTGCCCTTGTCTGTCTACTCTCTCCTCCCTCTCTCCACCTCCACTTCTTCTATCCCCTTGTCCCTCACTTCCTCCATCCTCTCTTTTCTCCCCTCTTTCTCATTCCCTCCCTTTCTTCACCTCTGTCTCACTTTCTCCCTTCTCTTCTCCCTCCTCCTTTCTTCCTCTCCTTTTCCCTGCTCTCTCTCTCTTTCCTTTTTCACTCTCCAACATGCCAACATTGCAGTGTCCCTAATTTCCCAGTAGAATCCCTGGGTCTCAGCTTCACTCTTCATCCTCTGAAAATACTTTCTGCTTGGGTACCTCTCTCCAGCCTCCAGGACTGGGGAGGGTACGGGGATGGCACTAAGACCAGAACTCTCTCCCCTGGACTACATGTGTCTCTGTGAGAATCAGAGAGAAAAAAATAATCACAACCCAGTAATTCATTTTCCTCTAAGGAAGGTGAGAAATGAGCTCTGAACAGTCCAGAGATATCACCCCATGTCTATTAAATACGGTTGAAGAATCAGACAACATTTTTTGACTCCTAAAGTAATGTTTTTTTTTAATTTGTCAAAGAAATTGCTGCATGCCGTTATTCATTGCATCCCTTGGAGCAGAGTTACTCAGATTAATTCACTTTCGAGCCAGTCTGCAAAGCCCACTGAGCTTACCCATTCCTAGGAACAATGGCATTCAGAGAGGCCCATCGTTCAACTGCTGGTTTCTTTTTTCGTTGAACTCCAGCCAAAGAGGCTGTTCGAGCTCCAGGGTTGGGGTTGGGCGGAGAGGAGACCAAAAGCAGAGAGCTGGCTTTCTAATGAGATGACACCTGATCTGAGTTAAGACAGGGAGAAAGACAAGCTCCCCATTGGGAGGCATGAGAGCCCAGGAGAAGGGCACAAAGATTCTCAGACAAGTCACATTCTGGAATTTTGCAGGTGAATCTGCCCTTCTCACCAGGTAGGTGGGACTATGGTCAGGTGTTTCTTTTGTGTCTATAAATCCTCACCCAACCTGAAGTGGGCACTTTCAGAAGAAAAAACAAATCTACCAGGAGCCCTGATCGGTTAAGGTAAGCAAAAGTTTCCAGGCTTTTTATTCAGGGGTCAAACTATACTGTATTTAATATTTGATGTCTGAATGGAAGAGGGGCTTTGCCAAATTATTTGAGGGAAATAGCTTGTAAATGAAATATAGGCATCCTCCCCATCCACAGGGGACTAGATACCTTTGCTGCTCTTGAATGTTGCATAAACAAATCATGCAGAGAAGATACAAGGCAATAATCCAGGTGGAGCTGGGGGTGGTGGGTCCTCTCTAGTCTGGGAGGCTAAGCACATAATGATCGGCCTTCAGACTTGGCTAACAGCTTTTCTTCCTTCACATAATCTATGAGTGGGCAGCAGAATCACATGAGAACTCAGAAAAGAGAAATGAATTTTTTTAAAGGTGAAAACGGTGGACTAGATCAAACAAGATGCAATGTAATCAAGATAAAAGTCATTTTTTTTAAAACAGCCACACAATTACAGGCCAAGTGAGTCATGGCTAGAGAAGAACTTGTCTGAGGGAGATCGGGGTGTACCTGGACTTCAAGCTCAATATCAATAAAAGAGGCAGAAACAAAAGCCATTTTCTGCTTGGGCTTTGAGAGCAAAGGCAGAGTGTCCAGGCACAAGTAGGCGACAATAGTCTTAGCACTGTCTTCTGCCCTAAGCACACACCGCCTCTCTAATGTTGTGATCATTTTGGTCGCCAAAGATTAGGAAGGGCACAGTTACTGGGAGGTCGACAGGGTTGCCAAAGAGCATTGAGAATATGCCTTGTTACGATTAGTTGAAGAAACAGGACCTGCTTAGCCTGAAAAAGAAAGTGTTTGGTCTGAGGTGGGGAGACACATGGAAACTGTCTTCAATTATTTGGAGATGAGATGAGAGTTCTTCTGTTTGGTCCCAGAAGCCAGAAACAACAGTAAGGAAGGAAAGTCACAAAGAGACAAAGCCAGGCTTAAGGTAGTTGGTTTTTTGTTTTGTTTTGTTTTGTTTAAGTGATAATACTTTGAGCTCTCCCAAAGTGAAATGAGATAGCTCAGAAGATCATAAGCCCAACTTCACAAGGTGGGGGGAGGATATGGAAAGGAGGGGGCTATGGCAGCAAGACTCTAAGCCCAAGGAGGATGGTGCCTTGTTAGAGACAGAATAATTTTAGGTATGGCTTGGAGTAGAGGACACTCAGGTTCCTACCAACCCTGAGATTCTGAGTTTCTGTGATTCTATCTATCTCAAGGGGGAGGGGGAGGTCCTTAAAAATTCTGGTCAATATAAAGGTTTCCTCATACTTGACAAGATTTCCCTAAAGCGACCAGCAGGACAAATAGAAAATAGAAAATGAGTGGGTGTCTGTCAAAGCTATAAGTGAATGTAGTGAAGGAAGACTCCTCTTCACTACCACCACCACCACCACCACCACCACCCTGTATTTCTTATCCTTTTTAAAATACTCCATAGTATTTGCTCCTTCTCCTCAACTCAGTTCCTAATTTGTCTCTCATGAGGAGCTTCCTGACACAGTCTCATTTCTGAAAGCCTTTATTTTGTCTATATTTTCTAGCTACATATGTGTGTATAAGTCATCTCCTTTCATTGGAAGGAAGTAATCCTCTTGAAGGCAGAGCCAGCCTCTTCGTCTCTGCCTTGGAATCCCCAGTGCCTCAGTTCAAATGCACCTTCTTGCTGTAGGGCATGCACCACATTCCATTCTCATCTCCATGCCTTTGCACTGGCTCTATCCCATGCCTGGAATGTCTTCAGAACTCAGAAGAACACTTTCTACATGTGGTTATTCCTGGTCCTCCCAGCTTGTAACACACATCCCTCCCATTGCCTTGTACCTGCTCAGGATGATTTCTGGGCTATATAACTAAGTAGATATGTTTCCCAAATCACACCGAGATCTCTTAGAGGCTGTTGCTGAGAGATACAGAGAGACAGCGTTGGTGGTTTTTCTTTGTATCTCAAACTTAGCACAATGCCTGCAATATAGTAGGTGCTTAATAAACACTTGCTGACATCGATTGACTAGTTGATTGATCGCTAAAGTGATAAAGTGGTCTCTTTTAAAGGGGTGACCTTCAGCCCTCACCATCATCCTTCCTGTGGCAGTGCAGAGTCAGCCTCTTGGTCCTGGAGGGCCCCATCGTGATCCTCTAGAAGAAATGACGCAACAGTCAGCCTTGTCCTTCTTTCTTCTGCTCGTGACTGTCTCTGCCAACCTCACCGTGGCTGTCATGAAGGACAAGAGAGCTCCTCAGACTCTCTCCAGAGGTTGTGTGTGTAATGACATCTGTTTCTCTAAACTCTTCAGCCAATTGGGGGAGGAGGAAGGGAAGATTTTTTTTAATTGTCTCATTTTTCATCCACATCCTCATTATACAAAATATTCTAAATAGCCAAGCATCTCAGGCACGAGCCATGTCCAACTGGGGTGTCATTTGCCAAGGATCTCTTTAAGCAGTCAGGTATCTGTGATGGGTAAAGAGATATGACCTAGGAGAACTGTTGCTCTGGTAGTCATTCCTGTGCCCTTTACCACCCATTGCTAGGCAGTCAAGAGCAGGGCTTGGAAGTATTGGAAAGAGCAAATTTGGAATGGGGTGCAAGAGATGATGTTGGAGCCTGGGGGATACAGGCTTTGGAGGAGACTTGGGCAGTCGGCGGCTGCATGAGGACACTTAACAGGGAAGGGAGCAGGGCTGATGTTGAAAGTGGGCAAGAGAATAACCCATGGACAGGAGGACAGGGATCAAAGTGATACTTCTTCTGTGCCTCAATTGTGCCAAGGGTTGGTCTTCCTTGAGCAAAGAAAGAACTAACAGAGGATCAGAGAAGTCACAAAAAAAGGGGCACAGCTGGGCCTGGAGATGGTGACTGAATTGCGATTTTATGAGGAAATTGGAGCCCAGGTCCTGAAGTACAAGAGAAGTGGGAAGTCTGGACCAGGGCTGCTGTAGTGGCACTATGGTGTCAAGGAGACCTGGATTCAAATTCTGCCTCAAATGCTTATCAGTTATATGACCCACAGGTAAGCCACTTAGCTTTCTGGGCTTCAGTTTTTTCATTTAGAAAATGAGTGAGTTGAACTAGTGGTCTCCAAGTTCCCGTCTTGCTCTTTATCTATGACCCTATGGTCCAGTGGATTTCTGTGAAGCTTGAGCCAATAGTCACCATCTGGACCTTGGAAGCCTCAGGCTGACTCAGATTGCAGGGGTGCAAATTGGGTATGAAAGAGAAAGCTTTCCCTGCAGGGTGTAAATGCCACCTGAAACTCAACTAAACATAATTGATGCCAAACTAGCAAGTGCCTGTTGTGGGTGAAGCAGCGGAAGCGCTGCAAATGGAGAGCACCTGTGAGCTGTGTGTCTCCTCGAAGCACAAACCCTCCCCACCTCTAACCCAGACCTAAACACATGTGTCAGGCAGTAATTGGTTGGTTGCTATCCATCGTTCTGGAAGAGAACCAAAATGACATTGCCATGTTGGAGCCAAGGTACAGCGTGTGCAACTGAGGCTGAGCAGACCAACATGAGCTCTGATGAGTAGCACAGTAGAGACAGATGAGGCTGTACACCCTGGTGGATAAAGAGATGGCTTCTGAGTCAGGAAGGCCTGGAATCAAATTCACATACATGCTGGACGTATGACCCTGAAAGAGTCATCTGATTTCTCACTGCCCTAGCCAGCTAAGACTATATATGTTGCGGAGTCAGTGTCAATCTGCATGGGTAGAGGGAATTTCCTCATCTGAGAGGACCTGATGTTATTAAAACCCCAGGTCTAGACAAAATAAATAAAAATACTAGAAAAGTATTACCTATGATGACTCTGTATAAGAAATGGCATGGCAATCATCAAGGACACTTAGGATCAAAAGAGACAGGCACAGAAAAGTGGTGATAGGGAAAGGGACACAGAGAGATAGAGAGAGACAGACAAAGACAGAGAAATGGAGAGAGACAGACAGACAGAGACAGAGAAAGGGAGAGAGGAGACAGAGAGAGAGAGAGAGAGAGAGAGAGAGAGAGAGACAGACAGAGAGAGAGAGAGAGACAGAGAGAGAGACAGAGACAGAGAGACAGAGACAGAGAGACAGAGATGGAGAGAGAGACACAGACAGACAGAAGTAGGGAGAGAGACAGAGACAGAGGGAGAGGGAGAGAGAGAGAAGACAGTGAGAGAGACAGGACAGAGGTGGAGAGACAGAGACAGAGAGACAGAGACAGAAAGACAGAGATGGAGAGATGGAGTCAGAGAGAGACAGAAGGGAAGGAGATATATATAGATATAGAGATATATAGAGAGAGAGAGAGAGACAGAGAGAGAGAGAGAGACAGAGACAGAGACAGAGAGAGAGAGGAAGAGGACTATTACTGCTCACATGAGAAGAAGAGAAGAGAGAAGATATGGAGAGGTTTCCATTGGACCGAGTGGATGGTCACATTGGTGAGACCATGTAGCCACCTAGGAATCCAGTAGTTTGACTTTCCCAGCCACTTCTCACACACTTATAACACAAAAAAGGTCAAGATGGGTGGTGCAAAGAGCCCTGGGAAGACCTAGACTGGAGTCCAAAATCTGCCCCTTCCACCAACTGTGTGGTCAACTCATTCACACCTTGAAAATGTACAGATGACAACACTGACAGAGCTGGAAGGAATCTCAAAGACCATCTAGGTCAACCTCCTCATTTTACAGATGATGCAGCCCAGGAGGGAGGGAGGTGAGTGACTTTCCCAAGGTCTCACAGCCTGAGGCAATAATACTTCTGTCACCTACTTCACTGGTTGGTTAGTTATTCACATTTCTCCTTCCCTTTAAGGTTGAAAACAAATCAATGGCTAAGCAGTGCTAGACTTATTGATTCTCTTAATAGATGAGCAAACTGAAGCTCAGAGCAGAAATGTATTTTGCTTAGGGCCATATAAAAGCAAAATCAACCCAAATCTTCTGCCTCAAAGACTAAGGTCACCATACCCCAGTGCCTGAAGGACCAAAGAAAATCAGTGTGTGTGTGTGTGTGTGTGTGTGTGTGTGTGTGTGTGTGTGTGCGTGTCTATTTTTGTGGCCATAAAATGTTGTATAAATATGACTTATTCTTACTAACATAGTAATTACTTGTTAAATTTATTTTCTGTTTCTGCTTCAGGATGGGGTGATGACATCACCTGGGTGCAGACTTATGAAGAGGGGCTCTTCCAAGCCAAGAAGAGGTAAAGAACCCATTCTAAACTGGTTTGGAAATATCCCGTGCCATTAACTCTAAGGCAACCTGAAGCCTCCTGACCCTTCCAACTGCTAGTTCTATCCCACTCCCAGCCTCCCAACAACAACAACAAAATTATCTTGTATATATTTATATTCTAGACAGTGTGAAACAGAGGCTGCAAAGCTGCTTCAGAGAAGGGACTGAGCAAGTCTTGCCTCTGGCTACATGGGGGGGAGACAAGTGGCCTCTCCACACCCTGAGAAATTCTCTAGGACCATTAGCTGCAAAGCAGGGTGGATCCCTGCTGAGAATTCCTATGACAATTAAACCTCAGGTCCAGTCTAAAAGTGTGTGTGTGTGTGTGTGTGTGTGTCTGTGTGTGTCTGTGTCTGTATCAGTGTCTGTGAGAGACAGGCACACAGAGACAGACAAGGGAAGAGAAATAGAAAGAGAGGGGGGAGAAAAAGAAAGACAGACAGACAAAGGGGAGAGAAATAGAGAGAAAGAGGTGATAGAGAAAGAAAGAGACAAAGAGAGAGAGAGGAGAGAGAAATAAAGAGGCGGAGAGAAAGAGAGGGGGAGAGAAAGACAGACAGGAGAAGAGAAATAGAGAGAAAGAGGGGGGAGAAAGAGAAAGAGAGAGGGGAAGAGAGAGAAATAGACAGGGGGGAAAAAAGAGAGAGGTTCCCAGTCCTTAGAGTGGGAGTGAGCCCAGAGGGGATAGCACATATGTGTGTGCATATACACATATATATGCATACACAGACACAGACACACATGAGTAGTTCAGGGCTGAGAGTCAGAACTGAATCCCCAGCTTTTCCTAACTGTGATTCTGGAGAAGTCACCCCACTGCATCAGACTTCTATTTCTTCATCTATAAAATGAGAATTCTGGATTCTGTCATTATAAGAGCCTTCCAGTTCAAACAATTGTTCTTCCTCTACCTTCCAGAAACAGCTTCTTAAAGCAGAACCTGTTCCCACTTGGGTTATTTTGTTCTCCACACATATCTGATCAGTACCAAAAGGCATTTTTACTATTTTCATGGAGAATATAATTTTCATCAATGTATAATGTGCAAGATAAGTCTAAGACATTGATATTCATTTTGATAACTGGTGTTAAATGTCAGAATGAAAACAGGGGCACCAAATAAGTATGTTGATTCCTTCCTGGCCTGGGGAGGAACCACAGAAGTCAGGGTGGCCTGGTAGTTGGTTCTAACCAGCTGCCATAGTTAAATTCTTGAAGTGAACATTTACACCTTGTAAATTGTCCAATCAGGGATTAATCATTGTTCTGTTGATTGTATAGACTTGAGAAGGTGATACAGAAAATGTTAAGGACGCAGATTAAACATGAAAATGTGTCATGTGCAATTGTTAAATATTTACCCACAAACCCATACTCAGAGGTTATCTGGTCCAATTCCTTCTTGAAATAGTAATCCCTGACTGTGGAGTCCCCCAAAAGTCTCTCCCAGAAACCCACCAGATATATGAAAGGGAACTCTCAAGGCAGCCCATCTCATTTCTAGACAGTAACAATAATTAGGGCTAAAAATGTAAAATCTGACAGTTGGGTCCAAGAACTCAACTTCACAAGTACAATCTGGGAGGCCATGGTTAAACATCGTGACCTCCAAACCCAATAAAAGTCAATGGTCTGATATGGCAACTAATAAAAGCTAATAATTTGCTTTCAGAGAAGGACTAGCTTTTAGGAATAAGGAAGCAATCGGGTCATTGCACTGTGCCCTGGTCCAACATCATATAGTGTACTGTGCTCAGTTCTGGAAACCACATTTTTAAAAGGACATTGATAAGGTGGAAAAGATTAAGGGAGGATGACTAGGATAATGAAGGGCCTCTAGCTCATGCCATATAAGAATGAGCCAAAGGAACTAGGTATGTTTCGTCTGGAGAAGACAAGGCTTGTTGTGAGGATGGGGAAGGGGTAACATGACTGTTATAAAGTACAGTTATCCTTTCCACATTATGACTTTCCCTATAGTGGTTCTGACATATGATAGGCATAAGAAATTAAATGGGAATTTGGGGGAAGTTTTGCAGAAGCAGCAAATGACACACAAAGGCTAGCAGACAACACAGAAAAGTTTAGAAACTCAGAAATGCGTAAAATATATGTATAGTATCACATAATGACATATTTTATCTCAATATGATAATTCAGACATCTATGCTATAAAAGGAAGGCCAAAAATTTTATGTGGATTTTCCAGATCGAGGGGTGCCATGCCTCTAACTCCCTGTGATGTGTAAGGAATAACTGTATGTTAAAACCTGCCAAGAGAAAGAGGGTCGGTGGGCTGGACCCCAGAGGACAGAGGAAGAGCAGGGGGTAGTGGTGGAAGAGTCCAGTTGTGGCTTGATAGAGATGAACGCTCCCTAAGAAATGGTTGTTCAGAAGTGGAATGTGCTGTCTTGTCGGGGCAGTGGATTCTCACTCAGTGAGAGTGAGGGGAAAAAAGCTTGGAGGCTGACCCTCTCATTGGGATTGTGAGAGGAGATCACTGGTGACCTAGGCGTATGCTAGAGATTTCTACCATCCCTTCCCACTTGGAAATTCCGTGGTTCTGGGAAGTCTTCCCTTGTAATGAATTGAAATCTGCCTCCCTGCAGCTCCCATCTGTTGGTCTTTGATGGGTTGTAGAGGGCCAAGCAGATGAAATTGGATCTGTCAAGAGTACTGGCTACCTGACCTTCATCAGTTTATTGCATTGTTTCCATTCTGCCACTCATGTTTCCACTAAGAATTTAAGTACCTGCAGGTCACAGAAGTGGAACGCAGTCTTAGAGATTGTCTAGCCTATCTAATGTTAAAGGAATTGGACATTTCCTCTATTTCTGCAGAAGAAATGGAAAGATAAAGGGGTCACCAAGCAGGTGTCCCTTGTCCAACTGCAAATGGAAACTTAGCAGAATCTCCATCTGAAAGGGCAGACACCAACAATCCCTTCTCATTCTTCTCCACTCTACAATCTAGGTAAACTGGCCTGCATTCTATTCCTCACACAGGGAGCTCCACCTTCCACCTCTGCACCTTCACACTAGCAGTCCTCAGAGCCTGGAATACACTCCTCTTCACCTCTGATGTGTAAAATCCCCCACTTCCTTCCAAATCCAGCTCATTGCCATTTTCTCTGTTGACCCTTTTTTGACTCCACACAATTGCTAGTGCCCTCTCTCCCCAACTACCTCACATTTAGCTACCTTGCCTTCATGCTGGACATTTATTTGTGTCCATATCTATGTACACATTTATGTACCTATGTATATATTTCCATGTGTACCTGTCATCTTCCTTGATGACATGAGTTCTTTGAGCGTGAGAATTGTTTCACTTCTGCATTTGTATTCCCAGCACTTAGCACAGTAACTGGCACCTAGTAGGTGCTTAACAAATGCTTGATGATTGGATGGTGGGTTGAATTTTTTAAAAATCAGTTTAGCTATATTATTGGAAAAGACTAAAATCTGTCTCACTCCTAAAATCATACACAAAAATCGAGGTAGTCTTTGGAGAATAAGTATCTTGCATAATTATCCTGGCTGTCTCTGGAGGGAATGTAACAGATTTCTCCTAGTTAATTTAGAATGTGTTGATTTTGTTCAGTAAATCAGATGTTACTGATTTATTTTTTTTCAGTTCAATTGAATCAAATTAATATTTACTAAGAATCTATTACATGCTGAGTGCTCTGCTAGACACTGGGGACTCAAGGATAAAAACTAAACATCCCTATCCTCAGGGGGATTACATTCTGCTGCTATATCAGTTAATTAAGACTATTATTATTAAATTTGACTCTAAAAAACTAACACTTATTGTGCATTCTCCTGCATCAAAGAAAAGTATTTGCCTTAACTGGAAGTTCCTTATGTTTTCTTTGTTTAGTAACAAACCCTTGATGGTCATTCATCATCTGGAGGATTGTCAGTACTGCCAAGGTAACGATAAGGACCTCACACGTCAAGGAGCAAGGCCCCCATTAGAATTCTAAATTTAGTGTACTCAGAACTAGGGACAGCTGAAGAAACGTCTTGAGCCATATGGTGATTGATGACCTCATTGATGGTGGATGACCTTATTCATAGCAAGAGCATAGGGGATTTTAAAAAGACAGAGATAAAAGAAAGAAAGAATAACTGAAATCTAAAAATAATCCACTTGAAATAATAAAAATCTGGTCTACTGTGGCATGAAATCATGAAGCTACAGGCTTTGTAAATAAGAGATCATCCTTTTTTATAGCTGGAACTAAAATTAAGGTGCGTGGTGGGGAGGTGGAGGCAAAAGAAGGAAAGAAGAGGTAGAGAGGTGATGAGCTGTCTTTCCTCCCAAGATATAAAATCAAATAACTATGTTTATCAAAAGGAGTTTGGGGAACAAGAGCTACACGAGACCGATATTTTTTTTAAAAAATCTAGTTCTTTTGCACTTTCAGCCTTAAAGAAAGTCTTTGCCAAGAGCGATGAAATCCAGGAAATGGCTCAAACTAGCTTTGTCATGCTCAACCTCATGGTAGGTGAAATCTACGTGCTGGGTTAATTTCCAATGGTGAGTTTTGTTTTTGTGTTTGTGTTTGTTTTTTTATGGTGTACAAAATCAGAGTCAATGGGGCATAGGGAATAGAGGGTTGGCATTAGAGGCAACAGGTTCAGGTTCTACCTCTGACACATGCAGACTATGTGACCCTGGGCAAGTCACTCAACTTTGTTTCTATTTCTCAGGCAAATCTCTCAGACTATAAATTATCATAGACTAGTTGTTGGTTTGCATCTGTAAGATGGGAAAATTGCACTTAATTTATTGTATTTTATTTTCAGTCAAGAGCTCCAGTTTACTTTAAAGCCTGATTCATTTATGCTTTTTAAAAAAACACAATAAGCTATACAAAGAAAGACAGAAGTTACTAAGTGAGCTCCTACTTAATCTTTCTGACTTTCTTCTCTTCCCACCAGCATGAAACCACTGACAAGAACCTGTCTCCTGATGGGCAGTATGTGCCTCGAATCATGTTCGTGGGTAGGTATGCAATGTGCACATGTGTAAACTTCGTATGAATTCTTGCTTAAAAGCAAGCATTTCTAAAATATTTGGTGCTGTACTTCTTTTTAAAAAAAGAAAGAAAAAGAAAAAGAAAGCTCCAATTCAAGGATCTTTCCATCTCCAGTGGAAAGATATCAACTTTACCCATCTCAAAAATAGCTCATTTGTCACTGACTTACATTTCTACAATTAAAAGTAAATAGAGTCTGGGTCTCAGTTCTCTCATCTGTAAGATGATGGGAATCAACCAGATGGTCTCTGAGATCCTTTACAGGTCTATGAGTTCTAATTCTATGTTATTCCTTTCAATAGTGAAGATCAGTAGAGTCAAACTCAATAGAAATGGGGGTCACTAAGCTGGACATAAGGATCCCTGAGGGCAGCATATAGATTTAGAAAACTACAGATTAACATTATCTATGTTTTGTTGTATTTTATTTATTTTAATAAATATTTCCCAATTACATTTTAATCTGATTCTGGCTGCACTCTGAAGTATTGTGGACCACCTGCAGCCTGCTGTGTGGAGGTATGTGTGACACTTCTAATAATAATGGCACACACCCATCCCCCAGCACTTTCTCATCCTGTGAGATGACGTTTTTGCAATTAAGAGATTATTCAGTCCTACAGCATTTATTAAGTGCCCACTATATGCTGGACACTGTTCTATGCTAGGTATACAAAAACCAGAATGAAGCAATCTCCGCCTTCAAGAAGCTTTTATTCTATTAGAAAATCACCTCATTCCTCCAGACCACATGTCCTGAGTATGTGTATGTATTCCTTTGGAGCAGATCCTTCTTTAACAGTCAGAGCTGACATCACCGGGAGATACTCTAATAGACTCTACACATATGAACCCCAAGATTTGCCAGTATGTAAGTATCTGCTCCAGACTCTCTTGAGATTTGGGGGAAAGAGTGATTCCCTGATCATTTTAAAAGTTACACAGATTAAGAGATGTCATATAATCTTGGTGGGCAAATTGATTCAGATATTTAGCAATGATCACTGTTTGATGAATCTTGTAAGATAAGTATCTAACATAATATCATGCTTACAAAAAAGAATGTTGCCTATCAGAGTCTGGCATTTAGGGCAAAGGAGCGGGAGTGAAGAAGATGGCCCGCTCTGATCAAATACACTGGAGCTGGAAGATAGGGTAGTCCATCACACAAAGAGTCTGGCCCCAAACCTGACAGCTTGTCTGGCAAACAATGAGATCCTCCAGCTACTGGGGTGAGGCAGTGGATGGAGAAGAGACAGGCAATAGGATAGGGGTTATTCTTAGGGAGGTGTTAGGAAACCCCTCGGACAAAGCCCTAGCGACCAGACCATAGTTATGGTCCTATTCACTGCTACCAGAACAATGCTTTAAGGAACTGCAAAAAATGGGACTAACACCCATCTTGATGGATGGACGATCCACTCCATGGAGACCCTGCTCTGGGGACAACAACATTCAAAATGTCCTATATCCTCTGTGATGTGTCACAATCCTTGAGCTCACATAACATACTTTTATGTTATTTTTTTCCTACCTTAGATGACTGTGTTCATAAATTGTTGATGTCAATAAGTCTATATCAGACACTGGAATGGTACACATGGAAGGTGAAACTGAATATGCATATTTCAATTTGTTAGAAGTCCAATCTTTCTTTGTTCTCCTTTCAGTAATAGAAAATATGAAGAAAGCCTTACGACTGATCCAGAAGGAATTATAAATGGTGGTGGAGAAGACATACCATGCCCTAAGAGGGCAAGTGCATAGAAATGCTGTCAACTTTAAAGCGTATTCATTAACTATCTGGTTAGCAGCTAATGGAGGTTGCCGCAATGCAAGCACACAGGGAAGTTTGTTTGGGAGCCTTTTCTCTGGTTTCCAATATTTTGAAATTGTTTGAGACTTTCTAAGTGTGAGAGTGACCCCTAGAGCAGATTAGTGTCAGGTCCTGGAGGCTTCAATATACAAAGTAGTGCATTTAATTTGACAGAACAGTAGCACAGGAGACTGGTGATGAAACTTGTGATGGCAGGGCCAAAGGTGACATTGAACCATAAAATGCCAACCACCATCCAGCCCCTACTTGGAACCTTGGACAGCAATTGCAAGACTACTGTTGTCTCAGTATAAATTCCCAACAAAGGGCAGATGATGCCCATTAGGCAGCTACAAGTGAAGCTCATTTCTATCCTGTCACACATGAAGCAAGTCACCCCAGCTCCCAAGACATTAAAATCACATATTCTTCTCCCTTAGCAGTTACTTAATAAGCACTCACTGAATTTAATTGAAATATATACTTTAAACAGCATAGTGAGAAGCAGCAAGATGCAGGACACCAAGAACCAGCTTTGAAGTCAGGAAAACTTGGGTTCAAATCCTTTTTGAGATGTAAGTGACTTTAAGGTGAAGGACTGGCTCTGGTCAGCTCTGATCATCAACAGGTTAGCACAATGCAGAGTTTTACTACTCAGATGGCACATATAATCACAGAGCATTCATAATGGTGTATGTATATACAATAAATGTTTTTTAAAAACCTAAGTTCCTGATCTCCAAACATCATTAATGGCTATGTGTCAACTACATTCTTAGACATATAACTTCAAATAATTAACATAAAGATCAAAGTCATTGTGGATGAGGATCTCTGGAAGGATAATGTCCTAGGGACATATCCTGTCACAGTTCTGCTCTATTAACCATAGGATTGCAAATTTAGAACTACTAGGGGCCTCAGCGGTCATTAATCCCCCAATGACTACATTCCAATTCCCTCTGATTTCTCTGTCCCAAACAATCCTTCCTGGCCATTCTTCCCAGGACCTCTTACTACCAGCAGCCAGGGCCCCTCCAGCTGCTTCCCTATTTGACCAGTGACTTGGATAGGGGAACTGAGAAGAAGATGCTGAGCAATCTGTAGGTGACACAAGGCTGGGATGGAGGGGTAACTAACGTGTTGGAAAAACAGTTAGGATCCAAAAGGACATTGAAAACCTAAACCACTGGGCTGAACCTAATAAAACAAATTCATAAAGATAAGCGTAAGCTTATATTTGGGTTTTTAAAAACCAGCCTCACAAGAAGAAGACAGTTGAAGCATATGTAGATAATAATCCTGCTGAAAATGCATGGAGGTTTGAGTGGACTGCAAACTCAGTCTAAGTCAACAATGTGACACGACATTAAAAAAGAAAGATGAGGAAACATCTTCAAGAAAGCTTGAAGAAAGATATACTATACAAAATAAGGGAGAGGAAAGTCCCATTACACTCTGCTTTGGTCAGATGATATCTGGCAAATTGTGTTGGGTTCTGGGGGCACCATTTTAGGAAAGACATTTAGAAAACAGAGAGCACCTGGGGAGGGGCCCATGATGCTGAAGAGACCCACAACCATGTAAAAGTTTCTTTACCTTAATCTGGAGAGATCTGAGAACTGTCTTCAAGTGTTTGAAGGGCTGTTCCATGGAAGAGAGATGAGACCTGTTTGCTTGGCCCCAGAGAGCAGAAAAAGGGGCCATGTGTGGAAGCTGCACCTTGTTTTATAAGAGACTTCTCAAGAATTGAAATTGTCCAGAAGTGGAAGGGCCTGCTGTGGAAAGGAGTGGTCCTCCCTCACTAGAGGTTTTCAAGCAGTGACTGGGCAGTCACTTCTCAGGGGGGTTGTTGAAGGGAGTCTTGGCCAGGTGTGGGATTGGCTAGCTGGCTTCTGTCATCCTTTCCAACTCAGAGATTCAGTGATTCTGTGCTGGAGATGCACAGCTGAATAGGTTTTAAGACAACGATGTTTAACAAAAGACTTTCACCATTTTTTGTGTTTTGTGGTCATAAAATGTGCGATTATAGAGAATGACTCTATAGGCACCAAATTTCCACTAGATCCTCACTTTTCTTCACTTAATTCATGTCAAGAAAAAGAAAGGAAAGCCAGGAGCAATGGAGCCTTGGCAGATGTTGTGAAATGTCTGGTAGGAAGTCAAAGGGTTAGAGTTCAAGTGAATCTCCTCTTTCTCACAGTGGAAAGTCCAACAGTGTATTACACAGAAAGTTTAAACCATGTTCTGGACCATTACGTGCCCCTTCCTCAGGCCTTCCCTTCTCCTGTACCTGCCTGACTACAACCATCTCTTGGCCCATCTTCTCTACTCTAGGAATTCCAGAACAATCCAGTTCTCTATTTTAAGCACATTAATGTCCCTCCTGAACTGTGATGTCCATTTAATCACATTACTCCAGGCACAGAACAGTGTGGCCATTGCCTTCCTTTTACTGAATGTGATGCTTTTCTTAATGCATTGATTTTTTTTTCAGGCAATTGGGGTTAAGTGACTTGCCCGGGGTCACACAGCTAGTAAGTGTCAAGTGTTGGTCTGAGATTTGAACTTAGGGCCTTCTGACTTTAGGGCTGGTGCTCTATCCACTGCACCGCCCAGCTGCCCCTATGAATTAAGACTGCATTAGTGTCATTGTTAGTGTCATTGCCTTGGCCACTATACTTTGACTTGTGAGTAATGTGTATTTCCTCCATTTGAGGGAAATACCCACTCCAGCCACGCTCACTTAAACCTGGCCCAGCCCTTGACTCCCACCTTGACCTTATTCAGATACCTTCCCCCTCCCTCTCTTCTAACTCTCTTTGTAGTTTTCTTCCCACCTTAGAATATAAGCTTCTTGAGGACAGGAACTGAATTCCTTTTGGCTCGTATTTCTATTCCCAGCACTTAGCCCAGTTCCTGGAACATAACAGGCATTTAATAAATACTTTACAATATTTATCTACCTCATAATGATAAAGCCTGCCAATCTTTAAGACAAGCTGCTGTCCAGCCACGTACATCCATAAGTTAGTAGCTACCTGTCATCTTCTCAAGTTCAACCAGAATTCTGGCCTTCCAAGATTGTTTGAAGCCCTAACTGTCATCTGGTGAAACAACAGCTAAAACGAAGTGCCCCAAGTGAGCAGCACACCTCAATGGGTCTGCGTTTCTGGATTTTCCTTCCAAGTATGTAATACAATCATCCTCCTGAGCAGCCTTTTAGAGACAGTTCAATTTGGGTCAGGCCTTGGAAGAATTAGCAGTGATCTACAGCTCAAATGAAATCAGTGTGTTAGCCTAAGAACTGAGCACCATTGTTTTAAAACCACCCAAATCCAAGAAATAGAGGACTGGAGATTCATGATGTTTCCAGGGAAGGTCTTATTTAGAGACTAGTAAGGGCAGTGTTTGAGGCAGGCTTGTTCAATCTCTGATTCTTTGTGACCCCTTCTGGGCTTTCCTTGCAAAGATACTGGAAAAGTTTGCCATTTCCTTCTCCGATTGACTTTACTGATGAGGAACCGAGGCAAACAGGGTTAAGTGACTTGCCCAGGGTCATGAAGCGAGTAAGTGTCTGAGCCCATTTTGAACTCGGGGCTTCCTGACTCAGGGCCAAGTGTTCTATCCACTGCACCACCTACCTGCTTTAAGGCAGGTAGTTAACTTCAAAAGAACGGATCTACAGTCCGAGGATAGACCTGGGACCTGTGCACTGTTGCTTTAAAAGGAAACCCGAAAGGTTCAGGTGGAAACAATGGGCTTGCCCTTCCCACACAGATTAACTTTCTCAATTCCAAGAATCCCGTGCTAAGCTGAGAGAGCTCGGGTGCTTCAGGGAGGATTGTGAATTCTGTGCCTGTGTTAGATAGGAGATAGCATCTCAACAGACAAAAGCAGCATCTCCCTCGCTCCCTCCTCTCTGCCCAGGGCCTCTCCTCTGGGGAGCAGCCCTAACCACCCTCTCTCAGCTTTCTTTCATTCCTACCACTACGGGACACAGTCAAGGACACATGCTTTCCATCGCTCTTAGAAATCTCTCGAGATCATGGGGGAGAAATGAGTGTGGTCTCATGAAAAGACCAATGAGTTTGGATACAGATCTGTGTGAGCTCGCGTGGGCATTTTCACCTCTGGCTCTCAGTTTCCTCATCTGCAGAGGAAGGGAGCTCGAGTAAGTGACCTCTAAGCCATCTTCCTGCTCCAAATCTATAATATTGGGACACAGGTTCAATTCCTATTCAGGTAGCTTTGGGCGGCAGGTGACCTCTCTGGGCCTCAGCTTCCTCATTTGTAAAACAAAGGAATGCCTGAGATGGTTTTAAGGGTACTTTCCTGCTCCAATTCCTTGGATCCTCAGTAACACCCCTGGCTGAAGGTGATTTAGACCCATCCCCCATCTACATGAAGGGCTTCCCCTGAAAGCATTTTAGAATTAATCTTTATGGCCTCCAACAAATTTCACTTCCCTTTGGGGAATTTATCAGTCTTCATCTTAGCACCCAGCAGCTCAAACAAATCGGGTGCTTAACATCAGTTGTCTTGAACGAGGTGCCTGAAGAAACAGGATACTCCCTAGATCCGTCTCCTGTAGCTGGGCGTTGGCCCCTTCTCAGCAGACGGCTGGTACAAGAGGAGAAGGACTTGTATATTTCCCAATAGGCAAATATTTGCACTGGACCGGAACAAAAGGAGGAAAAAATCCTCAGCTCAGTTGACCAAGAAGAAGGACACCTCAGCATTTAAGCTGGAGTCGGAAGTGGGCCACCAGCCCAGGTGGATTTCAGCTGCTTCCCTGTCTGACACCTCTAATTGACATGAGATGCTCTAAGCAAACTGTGAAAGTCAAGGAAGAAGAAGGCCCCATTGGGGATCTGGGGCCTCCTCTCCTTGAGAACGTGTATGAGACAGTCTGGACAGTTGGGAAATGTTTGTGTCAGGTCTATGCTAACCCCTGCCCATACTCGTGGTATGGAGGGGATACTTCTGTGTCTCCCCCAAATCTGTGCCCATGGAGCCTAGCTCTCAAAGGCCCCTAAGCTTCATGATCAGCCTTGAGAAGAACCCAACTCTAGAATCCAAGGATGAGGCTTACTGGCTTTGGAGAAGCTCCTCACCATTGGGCTGAGTGGTAATGAGCGCCATAGTATAGCTACAGACTCTTACTCTCCCAAGGCACAGTGGCCTCAGATGTGTGGGCAGAGATGAAGTACATGGCCAAGAAAATGATGGGTCGTCAGACTATTGAAATATGAGTTTAGGTGCCAGGGTAGGTGGGGGAGGGAGATGTTGAGGTGGGCAGGGGTAATTGAATTCCCAACTTGGATCCCAACTCTGAATGGGGTTTGCTGTGTCTTCTTGTATCACAGGAGAAAAAGCCTGGTCCCATGAGGCAGAAGAAATGAGTTCAAATTCCACTTCTGTGTGACCTTGGGAGAGTCACTTCCTCTGTGCCTCAGTTTCCTCATCTGTAAAAATGAGGGGGTTGGATTAGATTTCTTCTGCGCAGTTTGCCTCTAAAGCAAACTCCAACAGAAAAGGGGGTCACTAATATCAATGTTAGGATCATGGCTAGCCTTAGTTTTAAAATGTAATGTTTGCTATGTTATATATTTTTATTTATTTTATTAAATTTTCCCCAATTGCATTTTAATCTTATTCTTACTGCAATTAGGATGGTTTTAC